AGATGAACCACTAAGGATAACGGTGGAAAATTGAGAATTGTGTATCGTTTCAAATACATACTTGGTAAGCATACTGACCAGGGACGGATAGTGCTCTAGATAGATTACGACAAAGGAAGAAAACGCCACTGACAAGAAAACTGAGTGTTGACATGAACTCTAAGAAAATCCGACAAGAACTACCCGGTGAGTTTGATTCTGAATAGATAAGGAAACTGGATCGGATCCATTCTGCACTTAATGCGCCTTTCACACGGCGTAGTACAAGGTAAAGTAGAAGGATTGTAAGGACGACTTACGCAAGAAGAGCAAATACAGGAAACTGAAAGCCGAAGCAAAAGTTTGGAATGAAAAACACATAAACAAATGTAAAAAAGTGGAGGCTAATAGTAATGGAAACGATTGACGAGGAAGTGTAAGCAAATCATTGATTTGTGGTGGTTCTCACACTATGAACCTGCCTTCAGGCGTACTACCATTTATCATTATTATTCTCTTTACATTTCAAAGGTTACTATTGGTAAACCTCAGAAAAAATTGATGTATGTATGTGTGTGTGTAGTATGTATGTATGGATCAACTGATTTGAATGATTTAAAAAACATTAGGTTCCTATTGACTGGAAAACGTGTTGATTAGTTTCAAAAATTCAGTGCAAAGAATGGAAATCAATTTTTTTTCAAATCAAAATAAATTTTCAGGATTTTAAATCAAAATAAATTTTTAGGAAATTTCTTTAAGGCACGATGCAAAGCACCACTAGTTTTTTGACAGAATTATAAATTGTCTTCAATGGAAGAATAGAATTAGTACTTACGAGACCTTCGCTGGTTAGATTTTTATAGGTGCAGTCCATATTACAACATGTTCCTTGTGCCGGATGACATTGAGCATGCGGTTTGTTGACTTTACAAGAAGCGCCCGGATAGCCTCTCGGTACACAACAAGGATCCAGACTGTGACAAGATATTAACAGTCCACAATCGCAATCTTCTCCACGTTCTACTACACCTTATGAATGAATGATAAAATATATGAGTATATAAAATTTATTTAAATTTACGGAATCTGAATTTAATCTTAGATTTGATTAATATTGAGACACAAATTCCAACTCATTCTGCATAATGCCGTAAACGTTCATAATCAAATCAAAATTTATTAATTTATTATAAAAATATAACAATGCATATTCACTACCGTACCAACAAACCAAACACATGTGTAAAAATATATAAAAATAAACTAGACTAACAAGGAGAACCCCAGGCTTACTCTTCTGGAATTTTCATGAAACTTTGCATGGTGAAAGAGTTTGTAGTTAAACCGAAAATACTTTGATTAGATTCGAATTACCAAGATACTAATTTTACGATTAGGTTTAAAAAATTGTTAACGCATAATTTCATTGTTTTTAATATGTTATGTTGCGAAGCTACACAAAATCATACCATTGCCACAATATGGCTTAGAAGATTCATGTAAACATTGAGCACGGAACTGTAGCACATCTTTCATTTTTGATCTACTGCATTTACTGAACATATAGTGTGTTGTTATATTGCCAAATCGAGATGTGGGTGCCATTAAATAATCTCCACAATCGGGTGTATCGTGATCACTTCCAAAGCTGTGTCCTATAATTTTCAACTATCAATTAACACACAAATGTAAATATATATTGTTGTGCATCCCTGCTATAATTTAATAATTAATTTAGTATTACGTTGGACATAAATGAATTCTAGTATATTCTGTAGCAAGAATATTTTACTTCATGGAAATATTATATTTCCTTTTTCAGTACATCCCGAAATTCATTCATACGAATGCATCTGGTTAATTTAGCATAAATTTTTCTCGTGAACAATTATTCTGAAAGGATCTGTGCAACTATTCTTAACTAAGCATTTTAGGTTTAATTGAAATTATTAAAACATAAAACAGGGCAGTCTGCTGTCTGTTGTCGAGCCGGCAGCATCTTCTAATGTAGCTTCTAAAATAAAAAAGTTTAATCGTGTTTTCAATCATTTGCTAGTCTTCTGTGAACGTCATTATAATTTAGAATATTTTATGTAAATTTTATGTAATAAACGTAAATGGAAAATCATGTGTGAAATGTGTTTAATTGTGAAATCCCTAATACACAACCAGTTACCAATTTATTTTTCTAACATTTTGTGATAGCGGTATTTTCTACCACATTTTAAAGCAAATTATTGCTACTTGCAAAAACGGCGTTATGAAATAAAACTGTCAAGAGTACAATAAAGGGCTGAAAAACAAAGCCTTACCAAATCGGACAGAAAATTGTCGCACGGTTACAGGAACAGAAGTGGATATCAAAGTTAAAATATTGAAGTGAAATATTAAAGTTGAATTATTGAAGTTGAAATATAAAAAAATTATTTATTGAAATGAATTTTTTATCAATCATTTCTATCTTAATCTATTTTAATGATTCAGTATGTTCATTAAAACCAAGAACTCTATCGTTATACCAAATTAGTCGTCTATTTTTAATTTTAACAAACGTCAAATAAACTACTCATTTTCTTGAAATTTGGTGAATTTTTAAAATTAAACTACTTGTCGTAAGGGCGTAATATTTCAATAAGTTGTATAAGACATTGATATATATCGCCAAAAAAAGTTCCACAAAAATCGGTTTCAATTTTTGTTTCAACAGTTAATAACAAGAAAACGGCTCGGTAGATTTTTACCTAAAACGAATCAGTATTACTCCCAACTAATATCTCTCGAACAGTTTTTGATTTTTTAAAATCGATTCGGTAGAATGAGCTTAAATGTGGACAAAAAGTTTAACACTTTTTCTCAAATTATAAAGAGACGGCTCTGCCGATCATCGTACAAAACTGAAAAACGATAATCCTCATCGAGATACATCAAATGGTTTTTAAATTTTTGAAATCGGTTCAGGCGTTTTTGAGCAAACGTCGTGAAAGTTCTAATTTTGACAAATGCCAAAAAGACTATACTAATTTTTGCACACTTTGACGAATTTTTAAAGCTAAACGAGTTGTCGTAGGGCCGTAATATTTTAGTATGATCTAGAAGACTATGGTATCTACCGCCAAAAAATAACCATAAAAATCGTCGAGTTTTTTTTTCAAAAACTTTATTACAAGAAAATAGCGCGGCCGATCTCTACCAAAAACTAATCAGCACGATTCCCAATCAATATTTTTCGAGCGGTTTTTGAATTTTTAAAATCGATTCAGAATTGCGGGCTAAAACGTAGACGAAAAATTTTTCACTTTTCTCCGATTTATGAAGAAACGGCTTAGCCGATCGTCGCACAAAACTGACAAATAATAGTCCTCATCGAGATACATCAAATGGCTTTTAAATTTTTTTATTTATATTTATATTTATATTTATATTTATTATATATTTATATTTATTTTTGAGAAAACGTCGATTTACGGCAAAAAATCTGTGCGTGCACACGCACGCACACACATACATACTTTTTCCAAATTTTGTCTCATTCGATTCAGAATGGCTTGAAACATCGAGAAAACATAAAATTAGCGAATCGGCTTTTTTGATGAAAACATAAACTTCTCCTTCGGGAAGTAAAAATGAATTTTAATTTCGATTTTCGGCCCATTACAATAACTTACCCTACGGGAAGTTAATAAGGTTAATTGTACATTATGTTTCATTTGTGCAGTTAAGCCCGGTGCACACGACGCCAGTTTTCATGTTGGACAGTTTTTGTTTGTTTGTTACTCTAGCAACGACATGATAAGTCATAATTTACGATCTTGCGCGACATAATTTGCGATCTGGCCTGCTAGATTTCATGCATTCACAATGGCGGTATACTCATCATAATTTCTATATAAAAACGTTGCCTTAGCAACATCGGAATTTGATTTCATAACAACTTATGTCCTCGCAAATTCCTGCCGTATTTTAGGAATAGAGCATGTCCTATTCGGCGAGAGATGAACTATCTCGTGGCCGATACCTTCAGTGTCCAATAGGAAAGCTGTATTTTGTCACGGAAATATCAATGCGTACTTGATTCATGTACTTCGATTTTGAAAGCGTTTAGTTTTTATTTTGTAAATAGATATTTGTGTATATATAGCGAACGCCGGCATGAATAAATGATTAGTTTAGGAAACGCAGTTCAGTAATTTTAAAATATTCAAATTTCCGAAAAAATTTAAATATGCATTTTTTTTCAAATTTTCGTAATTTTATCTGAAATATCAAAAAATTTCAAAATTTCCAAAATATTGAAAAAAAAATCAAATCGTTTTATTTTAAAAATTTCGAAATTTGCAAAAATACTCAAAATTAAAAAAAAAACTAGTTGGTATTGGTATTTAGCCTTCAGGCAATTTACCGATATGTGTACATAATCAACTGAATCCATAATGGATAAATTAATTTATCAGTAGTAAAAAGTATTCGAAGTGGATTTATTACACATTACTGAAAATCGAACACGTCAACCCGGTCGGACTATTTTTAAAAGCAAATTTTCAAAAATCAATAATTTTTATAATTGAGGCAGGTTTTTGTAGGACTTTAATGGTTTAGTATGTTCATTAAGATACATCGAATGGCTTTTAAATTTTTGAAATCGGTCTTGAGTTTTGAGAAAACGTCGATTTACGGCAAAAAAATCTGCTCACACACACACACATACTTTTTATAAATTTGGTCTCATTCGATTCATAATGGCTTGCAACGTCGAGAAAACGTAAAATTAGCGAATTGGATTTTTGATGAAAACATAAACTTCTCCTTTGGGAAGTTAAAAATAAAATTTGCGAACCTTTTTAATATTTTTATATCAGTATTAATCATCCGATAAAAAATAAATAGAGCACGTCCTATTCGGCGACAGTAACTATTTGGTGGCTAGTACTTCCAGTGTCCAATAGGAAAGCTGTATTTTGCCACGTGATTCAACACATGTACTTGATTCGTGACCTTGGGGTTTGGCAATTGTTCGGTGTTTAATATATATCCATTTTTATGCCTAATAGGCTTGTATGAAAGACGGTTGAATCATGCATACGGCCGTTTCTTCCCACATCAACAAACAAAAATTTATAATCTGCATCGGCAAGAGCTAAGAGTACTATGCTGTCATATCCTTTATAATTTCTGTATTTCGAACCATCACTTCGTGATGGACGAAATCTTATATGCTTTCCATCCAATGCCCCTATGCAGTGAGGAAAATTCCATGTTGTCTCAAATTTGTGTGCAACAGCTTCCCATTCTTGTGCTGAAGATGGAAATTTTATAAAATGATCTTGAAGAACGGTTACAATTGCTTCAAGAGTTTCTCTAACGATTTGGGATATGGTATTAGGTGCAATTCGAGTTGAATAACTAATGTCTCTAAACGAATTTCCTGTTGCCAAGTACCGAATTGTAATACAAAGCCTGTCTCTCGGTGATATAGCTTGCCTCATAACTGTATCCTCTTTCTTTATATATGGTGTTACCATTTCCAACAAATCATTCCAAATACCATTTTCCATTCGCGTGTAATTTGAGAAACTGGCCGGATCTTCTGCACTAAAAACATTAAATATAACAATAACATTACGTTTTATCAACTTTCACTAATTAAAATTAACTCACTCTAGTTCATTAAAAACCATATTTAAGGAAGTCGTTTGCTGGTCATGCCGCAGCAACCAAGAACGACTCCATAGCCGTTTACGTCTTTCCTTTTCTTCCTTTTTTTTTAAATTATTAAAGAACTGACAATAACTGCAGTCCTTTCGACACGATCGTTGTCAGACATTTTGACATTTGAGGTTATAGCGCATGCAATAATTTAGACATATATGTTACAGCATGAAATTCAGGCGCTAAATTCTTGCGCGCCAGAATTTAAATTACAGACAGAAATTATATTTCTAGAAATACTGGCGTCGTGTGCACCGGGCTTTAGTTATATTTGTAGTCACAGGTAATTACAGGGTGTTTACAGAAGTCGGGTTAAGGAGTTGAAGTAAACCCTTTCGTAGTGGGGAGTGCAATGCTAAAATATAATAAGTAGCAGTCATTGCAATACCCCAGAAAAGGGTTTTCAACTTCAACCTTAACTCGTCACAATATGTGAATGATAAGATATAATATATAAATAACTAGGATTATCGTGGCCGAGGTCGTTAACGCGCGGACTGATGCGAATGTGGCTACCGATTTCCCGCAATCTCACATCAAGCAAAGCGATAGATCAAATTATGTTTCCAATTGAAAATGTGACCATATCGGGCACTGCGGTGTGAAATGGAAATGAGAAATACTCTCACACTACTTCTTTCCTGAATCAACTTGGAGTTTAACTCAGCTCACACACCTGGCTTAGGGCAGTACAACATTATTATTATTATACATTATTGAATAAATAACTAACCTAATTCGTGTGCTAAAGCCATATTATTAGCTGCTTGAGATATTCTTTCTCCTGTATCCATAATAGTGCTTACTACTAAACAATTAAAATTAAGACCGTCTAAAGTTGGCCTCTCGCACATTCCACCAGCTTGAACTTTTCCTGCAGATCTATCCGCCATTGCTGTAAAGCTAACAATGCATAAATAAATATAATGATCACTGTTAAAGTTATAATTGAGAATTAAGCTTTTTGTTTATTAATCTCACTGAAGCCAGTTTTATTATTTAAAAATAAGTTTGCTGACCTGAGACCCACCGCATGTTCTGAAAATCTTCTCGCAGTAAAAGCTATACCAATGCATACTCCTTCAAGGGCGCCATATGTAGACATTAAAAATAAAAATTCTTTACCATTAACTCCTGTTAATGGTAAGCGCCTGAAACAATTTGATAATTTGATAAATTCAAGTTATTACATTTTCGACCTTATTAGCTGATGACTAATTTGTTACTCTTTTTAAAGTAATTTTTCTATGATTTATGAAAAATGAAACTATCAGATTGGCAATTAAGTAAGTGCAGATTTTTGTTAGAAAACCAAAGACTGTTTTCATGCAACTGAATAACTTTATTTTGTAATGTCTATGTCTATTTTGATCATTTGATGACTTCTTGTCATCTTTCAAGCAGTATCACTATCCTAATTTTATAAAACTTCGGGTTTTTATTAGGAAAAATCTGAACCAGTTGTAGATTGACACGATTATAATCTGTGAATTGTTCATCACTCAAGGAGTTTTGTAAAGATCAAAACAAATAATATTCATATATATATATATATATATATATATATATATATATATATATATACAGTAGGGGCCAAAAGTTTCCGGACACATGAAAAAAATCTCATTTTCTGAGTTTTAGCTATATTTTTCATATAAAAATAAATTTATTCAAGTTAGTTTTATACATTCTACGTAGTATTAATATTTAGTGATTGATTTGTAACCAATTTGTGAGAAATGATAGACTAATTAGCAATGAAAATGTTAAAATGTCACTGCAGTCGATTTTCCTGAATATGACCACCCTTTGCTTTGATCACTGCAGCGCATATTTTTGGTAATCTTTCCACGAGTTTTTGCAATGTTTGCGCAGGTATGTTCTTCCAGGACTCGTTAAGGCAATTCCATGGAGGCTGGTTGGATGCAAATCCTTCACGCGGCGTTTAAGCTCGTCCCACAACAGTTCTATTGGATTAAGATCCATTATTTGAAGTATTTTTTCGTCTTGTTTTCGACAATACTGACGTCGATGATTTCCGAAAAGTTCGAATTTTGACTCATCCGTCCAAACACTGATTTCCATTGACCGATGGTCCAATTTAAGTGGGTTTTGGCAAATTGCAATCTCTTTTGTTTATTTACTGTTCGCAGAAGTAGTTTTTTGATGGCAACACGACCAATCATACCTTTTTCTCGAAGCCGGCGCTTGACCGTTGTGAGTGATATGGCTCATTTAACCGTTCCATTGATTTGATTGCATTGCTGATGTTGTATATCTTGTCATCGACTTTATTTGAGGTTTTCCGAGGTCGACCAGATCAAATTCGATCAGTATTGATGCCTGTTTCATGATATCTTGCCACTGCATTTTGTGCTGTACTTTTAGGAACCTGTAGTATTGGTGCAAAATCGCCTGTTTGTTTCAAAATAACAACTTGAGCTCGCTTTTCAGACAATAAATTCTTCAAAAATACTTCAAATAATGAAGTGGCCTGCACAATCGCCGGATCTTAATCCAATAGAACTGTTGTGGGACGAGCCTAAACGACGCGTGAAGGATTTGCATCCAACCAGCCTCCCTGCACTGTGGAATTGCCTTAACGAGTCCTGAAAGAACATACCTGCTCAAACATTGCAAAAACTCGTCGAAAAATTACCAAAAATATGCGCTGCAGTGATCAAAGCAAAGGGTGGTCATATACAGGAAAATCGATTGCAGTGACATTTTAACATTTTCATTGCTAATTTGTCTATCATTTCTCACAAATTGGATAGAAATCAGTCACTAAATATTAATACTACGTAGAATGTACAAAACTAACTTGAATAAAATTATTTTTATATGAAAAAAATAGCCAGAAACTCAGAAAATGAGATTTTTTTCATGTGTCCAGAAACTTTTGGCCTGTACTGTGTATATATATGTATATATATATATATATATATATATATATATATACATACATACATATGTAATAAATTCGAAATATGAATAAACAGCTCTCTCTTTGCACTAATTCATTAAATAATATTAATTTTCAAACATTTCGAGGCTATCCTCTAGCGTTATCAATTTTTGAGTTGGGCCTGTTCCTTCTCATTCTTATTTGATATTTCTTGACTCACCGTATTGACCTTCAGTCGTTCAGAGGTTTTCAGTCGACACAGTTCGTAAGATACGTGCATTTAGTAAAGAACAAGTTGGAAGAGTTAACACATCATGTTATTTTAAATATTCATATTTTAAAATTTTAGATTATAACACACTTTGACGTGTGTAAAATTAATATTATTTAATAAATTAATGCAAAAGAAGTGCTATTTGTTCATATTTCTAATTCAATATTTAACCGCTCAGAATACATTTGTTATATATAATATATATATATATATATATATATATATATATAATTATTTAATTCTATATTCGCTATGAATATGTTTTATAGACTAGCTTATTTGTTCTTACTTAAATTGATAGTGGTTAGATGAAGGTGATGTGAATATAATGATTTTTTCGATCATAAATCCCACATTATCTGGAAAACCATCATCATTGAAATCAGCATTTCTAAAAATAGCATCTGCTTCTGCCACAGTCACCATCATCCTAGTTATTGCATCATCCACATCGTTTTGATCCAATTCAACATATGTGTGATCGGCAATAAGCACTAATCCACATAAGCGGCTAAATTATTATCGAAGTAATATTTTTTTAGTAATATTATTTGATTTTATTATAATTTATTGTTTTATTATAATTTATAAAGACTATATCAAACTTAAACTAAGCGCATAAAAATTTAATTTTAGATCTAATTTGGCTTTCATTATTATGCTGTCTAAACCAAATGATTTTAGGAGATTCAAACACAATAAAACAAACTTCTATACAACTATATTCAACAAAATTTTCAGCTAATTGATCATTGTATTTAAATATTTTGTTGCTATTTTTCAACTTTGTCACCTGTTCGTTTTTAACCCACAAGCGGGGTAACTATTTAATCAATGCGATGCAGGTTAATTATTAGGTTGAAAAAAAATTATAATAAAATTGCTATTCTAACTTTTTTCATTTAGTTGAGCTTTAAGCTTGCTGTAACATTTTTTTTAATAATATATTTTGAGATCCACTGACTATATTTCTAAAAATAAAGATAAATATGCTGTAACTCACACGTAACTTTTTCTCTACCGAATCAAGTAATAATAATTTCATAACTATTGTTCGTTACGCTTACCTCTAATATTATATTTAATAGCTATTTTAAAGAAATTAACATGTTACTAAAATAATTCTTCTTCTTTCTAAAATAATAGCAAGAGCAAACTGTCAAACTTTGCATACTATGAAAAACTGGGAGAGCACAAGACTGAATTAATCTTAAACAAAAGCAAAAGTAACAACTTTACAGCTCAGAGAAAAATATTGGATCCACTTTTTTTTCTACAAGATTGCGAATGACATCATAGAATCACTAGAACTATTAACAAAGATCGAATTTGTCACACCTAGACAAGAACTTCGATCAACTAGAATTGTCAATACAACTAAATCCTCAGAAGATACGTGCACAACAGTCCTTTAAACAAATTAGCCAAAGTAGTCAAAGAGTACTGCAAAAAGGAGTATTGCGAAAGTTTGAACTATTTCAATGCTCGTCAAAACGTTTTGGATACCAATATAAAACAAAAACTAGCTGTAAGTGGAATTCTGTCTTAAGGCAATTAAGGCATCGTGCCTTAAGGCAAATTGCTGCAACTTCCCGTACCAAAAATTATTATATTTTAAAAACGATTAACATTTTTGAAAAAATTTTACTTCGAAAAAATTAGATTTTTGAGAAACTATAAATTTGACAAAAAAGTACTTTTTTAAAAAAAAAAAATTTTTTGAAAAGAAAAATGTTTTTTTCATTTTGACATATTTTGGAAATTCTGAACTTTTTTTTCAAAGCAATCGTATTGCTTGAACTGCATAGAGACGAAATGTCAAAGCGCGCAAGTGCCGCGCCGCCGCCCGACG